AACAAAGTTTTCTGAAGAATACGTTCTAAGCAGTTATAAACTTCATATCATGCTTTTATTTGTATTATCGACGAAAAAAAACGGCTTGTTCTCGATATGGGAGTTGAATATATTTTAGTGTATGAAATGATCACCATATATTATGAAGCTTTACAGAATCGATAAAGGTTTTTTAATACTTCGATTGCTTTTGAATTTGTTAAGAAATAAAAAAATATAAAATATTCGTGTCTCTATACATAAAAAAAATTTTTAATTCAAATGATTGATATTCATATCGAATTGATGTTTGTAGAAATTCTTTTCTAATAATACTGAACAAGATAGTTGAATTAAAAATCGATGGAAAATTCATCAATCATGGAAAATATTGGAAAAAATCTATTCAAATAAATTTTTTTACCAAAGAGCAAACAGAATAGTATAATATTAATTGCAGTTAGTTGAGAGAACTTTTAATAAATTAGAGCTAACTTTGCATACAAAATGAAAATTGATTGAATATTTCAACAAAATGCTTTGTGAATTATTTGGATGACTATATACATTAAAATATTTAATTGCTATTAATGTCTTTGTTTGAAAGACATTATTCCATAAAGAGTATAGATTAAAAAAAAGCTCTAGAGAATGAAGCTACATAATCAAAAGAAAAATTCGACGAATTGAAATGACGAAATGTTTGATAATAAGCAAAAAAATGAATTAATTTTTGTTTTGATTCTAGCTGCCTTATTATCAGGTGCTCGGAATGATAAAAATAGTAAATTAGCACAGGATATTGTTGATCGTATGCACAAGCTTTTTCCTGATTTCAAAAACTCATTAGTTTCAGCTTCGATTCTTTTGGCTAATGTTTATGCATCATCTGGTGCCATGGAAAAGACAACAGATATTAAGATTCAATTACATACATCAGGTGCAAAAAAGAAAGTGGGTTTATCACTTACTGAAGTTGATGGAAAAATTTTGGTAAGTTTCTAAGAAGTCTTCAAATCAAAATATTTCATATAATATGATCTATTTTCATAGAAATTTCGAGCTCATGATCGATCATATCCACAATCTGATGAACTCTATGCAGAAGTTGATCGAATATCAAAAGAACTTATTGAATACGGACACAAATATGATGCAAGCTGGATTATAAGACCGATAGAATCTGATGAAACAATTGAATCAGTTCTTTGTGGACATAGTGAACGACTAGCTATCGCTGCTAATTTTATGTTTAATAGAAAACCCAAGCGCATTCAAATTACGAAAAATCTTCGTGTTTGTGGTGACTGTCGTAAGTGTTCAATCGATCTTTGTTTTCTGCTTGACTTTTTTCTTTTTTTTTTCTAGATCGAGCAACAAAATTAATTGCTTTGATTCGTCAATGTAAAATAGTTGTTCGTGACGCAAACCGCATACATCATTTTCATCCAAATGGTCAATGCTCATGTCAAGACCATTTTTAAAAAAAAAACTTGTTTATAGTTTTAATAGAAAAAAGAGAAAACCATATCTAATTTTTGTAATTTAATTGTTACGAAGGATAGAAAGGAGTATATTTAAAATGTATACAATACTCATTTTTATCTCTTTTACTTTTGATGATGGAATATCATTTAGACAAAAAAGTAATATTCTCCGCTTGGAACTCGTACCCATGATATGACTATGAATTGACCGGCACAATGCTCTAACCCTAACCTATTCAGATGTTGAAGCACAACAATTTATAATTTAATATGTATACGATTGTAAGCTATAGAAAATAACAAGAATATTATTTGAAGAAAATTTGTGATAAACAACGATATGAACAGGAATATCTACGCTAGATAACTGCATTCGGTTAGTTCTCGTTTGGTCGAAACACTAATTGATTTTCTCGTTTCGTGGAGAATAAATTTTTCATCCGTTCTCGTTTCGTCGAAAATGAAAAAACGACTGTTCTCGTTTCGTCGAAAAGATAAATTTTAACTAATCAATGAAGAATAGATTATATCCTTTGATAAGATTTCTTCGTCATATCAATCAGGAATCGTGCCTATTTACTTGTAGATACATTTGTCAAAAAATTTTTATTATAGAGTAGATTTGGATACATCAATAAGAAAGTATTAAGAGAAAATATGAACATAGAAAAGAAAAACATCAATACTTTTTTATTCCGATTAATCGCATAACTTTTTCATGATATTCATATAATGTTAATGTTTGTTGTTTGTAACGTTCTTCTAAATTATGTAATCGTGCATTTCGATTTACAAACAACTTTTATTGTGGAGGTAATATACTAGCTGCTAAAGGACGTGATGATATTGCTGAGTTATAACCATAATCATTTTGAATTGCACGAATGAATATAGCAAAAAAAACGAATTGTCCCTTTTACTCCACATGTGTATACTTTTACAGAATTTCAGATTAATACTATATGGATATCAATTAGTTTCTTTATAAGAAAATAGTTCAATTCAATCATAGACATTAAGCTTTTCGTTTTGATTATGCTCTTATTATTACAATTTAATTTTTCGACGAAACGAGAACAGCCGTTTTTTCATTTTCGACGAAACGGGAATGATGAAAAAAGAGTATCAAATTTTTCGACGAAACAGGAAAATCAATTAGTGTTTCGACGAAACGAGAATCTACCATTATGTTCCAGAAGATGTTGCTACTGATATTCTAATTAAATGTTAATGTAAAACAAATAAGTTTATTTTTAAAATCACTCATCTTAACAAATTGAATATAGAATAAAAGGAATTTGTTTTGCTTGGAGGAGACATGCTCCAACCTGAAGGTTTTTTTACAGCCAGTATTAGTAGCGAATTAATTTGAATAAGAAACTCAGTAACATCTTTGATCCAGAGATGTCCATCGAAGCAGCGGTGCGGTGGGGGTAGATTTTTCTGGGTAGCAATACAAAAATGCATAAATTCGAGCCTCTAACTCAATGTTCGAAAGTGCAATGCTCTGAGACTCGACGAATCTTGTCGATTAGTAAGAATAGTTTTACTCGAAAACACTCACAGCTGTGAAACTTAAAACATTTATCTAACAATCCTCGTGGTAGCGGCATGTTAGCTTTTTTTGTTTTATCATCGCGGTGCGATAGCGGTGATCTTTCAGCCGCGATAGATATCTCAGATTTAACTTCGTCAAACTCGATATGAATGACATGCATATGAAAGGAGATCGTTGATCGGCCCTGAATAAAAGATCACTATATCTTCTAGAATGTATTATCGATTTCTGTTGATTTACAAAATTTCCATCAACAATTTACTTATAAAAATCATACTGAATAATTATCGTTCTGAATTAACTTATTAGTCTGGGATGCGACTTATATTGTTACTGAAGCTATTGTTAGAAATCAATCAGAATTTTCTGGTTTGAAATGTATTTTAATACAGAAAGAAAATTTTCCATGAGTCAATGATTATTTGTTGCCAATCGTAGAATTATTTGCTCTTTGTAATTATTCACCTGGTTGTTTGACAATAACTATTTATTGTTATTGTTTCTGCTAGTGTTTCAATAAATATTCATAAAAATTACTGATTGAAAAAAAGGAGTACTTTTTAGAATATCGAATGTAATTCAAAGAACCCATCGTTTACTTCGTGCTGTAAAATTCACTTACGATTCTTTTCTTAAATATTGAATAACATCAATTGAACTGAAGAAAAGCTATAGACTAAAGCAAACATCACAGCAATAATAATGAGCCATCTAAATACTTCAAAAATTATCCCATATCTGCCTAGAGTCCTGCGAGAATGGAAAAGATATAAAAAATATGCACACCCGAAAACCCCATTGCATTCACTGTATACGATCTAAGGCATGTTCGTGTAACTAACTTTTATTTTAAATGATTATTTCGTATATAATTAACAAAAAAAGCAAATATCTATCAACAAATTTATATGAATACAATCTGTCCCCATTAAATCACACATTATAGCAATGATCATCCTCTTTATCATTATCATCGAAAGTACGATCATCAAGATTATTTTAAAAAGCATTATTATTACCATCTTTTTCTTTCGAAATTTTGATTTTTCTCATTGGTGTTGTATAAGTAGAACTATTTATTCTTTTTCTTTATCACTCAATTGATAGTGAAACTAATTGTATTAGTGTTGTTAAATTTAAACGCCTAAATGATAACTGATTTACTTTACTTCTGTACAAACGTGTATAATGACTTCTTACTCTATCTCTATTGTTCGAAAAAGGATGACCTAAGGATAGATTAATGCCCAGAAAACACATTACTGATTGAGTTGTTTTAGTCATTATAGAGTAAACTATGTATTAATGCTTCAAGGTTGTTGGTGTGGGTGTAGACAAGAACGGTTGCTATCACCCACACCCATACCCGACCCATAAACCCAAAAAATACAAAGTTTCTACTCAAAATATAGCAAAAAAAAGATAAGGTTGGCTGACAATCGGTTGTTGTTTAAAAACAACTATTGCTTTTAAGAGTTTTTACCCATTATGCACTTTGTTTTGGTATCATGAAGCTAAAGAATACATATGACTTTTGTACTTAGGTCAGCCTCAAAGGAGATGCACTAACAAGTTTTTTTGTTAAAAAGACTTCGATAGCAATGATTAATGTTTTGGATGTAAATCGTTCGAACTCAAGAAGAGGTATTAACGTAATGTTCCCTAGAGACTTTTGGAATATCCTGTATATCTCATAGAACTAACGAATATCTTATTTATGTAACATTTCTCTCACTATGTTAAAAACTATCAAAACAAAAGTTTACTATCGAATAATATGTATTTGGCGCGTCTCATTCATTCTTATCTTTCATAGTCATCAGTAATACCTGTCTGTTAAAACTATTCGGTTTGTCTACGTTATATTATACGAATATGAATATATTTATAGAAAAAATTATTCTTTCTTTACTCATCTTTCAATTTCCGGTTATAAGAGGTAAATTAATCAAGAATGTAATCAAATTTATTTCATTATTTATTAAAATTCACATTAGCAACTAGTTATGGTGCATTTTGTAATAGTGATAGTGATTGTGATAGACATCAAAAATGCTCAAGTAAACTTTGTCTTTGTAATCCAGATGAAAGACGTTTTTGGACAGGTTTAATTAATTAAAAATAAATATTGCTTTTAAAATATATCCTATAGGAACAACGTGTGCTATATGTGCGAGAGAATATACTGTAACAAGTAAACATAATTTTTGAATAAAATTTATAGTATACATTTTTTTGTAAGTATGAATAGGAGATAGATGTTATAAATATTTTAATGAATTAAAAACATGGGAAGCATCTAGAGTTCATTGTCGTGCTCAATATGCTGATTTGTTTACTTGGCGTGATAATCATGATGAACAATTTATTCGACCTGTTATATTAAGTTGGATATCTACGCCTCTTTTTATACACATATCGCCTATGATACTCAAAGCAAAACCAAATCAACTATATCTTGCATGGACTAGTGCTAAGATAACTTCATTAAAACGTAAGTTATTGGACGTTTTTTGTTTGTTTTTGTATGTTGTAATGATAAATGAAGATTAAGAGAAATTCATTTATAGCACATAGTATTCAATGGATGGATCCTGATGGAATGAAAATAGACTTGACGAGTACAGAATGGTGTGATCCAACATATCATGCAGGTTATTCATTACAAAAAGAACCAGCATCAGGAACTAGAGAAGGTATAACAATAAAACATAGCTTGTATTTGAGATAGAGTCTGTTGAGATCAAAAGAAACCTAGATGGTTTCTTCCCTGTACATCGCCCATTCAGATTGATGGTGGTCGTAGTAAGCGACAAAAAAAATCTAGGTTTTTTTGTGGAATTTATAATGTTTACCATAAATTCATTCTCTTATCTTTTTTAAAGGTCCGAATGGTACTGAACGTGAAGAATGTATTACATACAATTTTCGTCCTAAAGGTACAAGTTTTCTCTGCTTATCAGATGACTACTGTAGTCAAAAATATCCATTTATATGCGAAATGAATGCTGCTACTATGAAATTAGCTACTTCTACGCATCATGGTATGTAAAAAAACACAAATAAAAAAGATTTCGAACAGATTTGAGAATCGTGATTAAAATTTGTATATGACTTCTTTCTATGTAGGTACTAATAATGGTGGCATTTCATTCGGAACAGATGAAGGTACTCTGGCCTCGTAGCAGCCTTGTGAAAAAATATAGGAATATATAGGAATTTAGAGGCCAAAAATATATAGGACCGCCCTGCACTATATAGGAAATACATAGGACGTTAAGTTTCCCCTCCAGAACTTTTTTGGCGCCTAGAAAGATTGTAGCAATATCGTAGATTGTAACGAGATGAATATTCTCCACTTGTCCGATAAGCTAAATAAAAAAAGTATCACCAAGTAACGAAAAGCAATGACACAGAAATCTTTTTCAACAATAAAAATAATAATTTCTGTTCGAGTTATTTTTAACCATTTCACGCATAAATACAACAAAAGTGTAAAAAAATAAATTCAAGCTTTCGACATCCTCATATTTGATCTAAGGGAGTGGGGGGGGGGGGGGGGAGCTTTCCAAAGACTCCCCTATCCCCCTTCAGCATTCAAAAACTTCTGCCCACAACAATCTTCGATTTTTCAAAAAATATAGGAATATAGGAAAAATGATCAAAATATAGTCCATATAGGACTAGTTTCAAAAAATATAGGAAATATAGTCCTACTGCGTGGCCAGAAGGTACTTCATCTGGAACAGAGGGTGATACGATCGATTTTGAAGAACCACAACCTCCTCCACCAGAAGACCCTGACTTTACTCCACAACAACTTGGTTTAGAAGCAACAACTGTGTAGTATAAATCGTGATTCTTTTTTCTGTAAAAATATAGTTCTATTTTTACTTTCAGCTTAAAGAAGAAACAGGTTTTCTAACAATGACAAATATAATTATAATTGCTGTTGTAGGAATAATTCTTATTGTCGGAGTCATTGCTGGATATGTAGTTATAAAAAATAAAAAAACAAGTATACATAATCCTACTCGTGGAAATGGAGGTGAATCTCAAGGTAGACCAAGTTTTGCTAGTTCAATTGGAAGCATGGTGGATGAATAGAAGATAAACAAACAAGATGTATCATGATCACAAAAAATATTCAGATGATTTCATTACTATTATTATTATTATTATATTTTCTTCTTCTGAAAATTTTCTTTTACTGGACATATCAACAGTTCTACACTGAGCATTCAGAAGGGAAATCGAAAAATACAATTCTTACCTTGACGTCCTTTATGAATGATTCCTTTTCACCTCATTCCAGAAAAATACGTTCACATTGATTTTTGAAGATATTCCACGTTATCGTACCAAATTATTTTGTTGTAGATAATCTCATTGTTGACTTACAAATTAATATTCATGATTTTCTATGAGAGGAACACCCTCTATACGATAAACATAATGATGACAAAAAATCTTCTAATTAGACAGTGAAACACTTTCTCAATGAAAAGGAACATCAGCTTGAATGTATAGCATATATATGGAGGAGCATCCGTTGAATCAATGCTAAAGCACTATTTCTTTTCAAAATACGTTTTTTTTCTGGCCGACGAGTCATGTTAGTTGATCTTTCTTTCGCAAGAAACAGTACGTTGTCTTTCATTCACATTTTTTTCATGTTCTCTTTCCTATCGCTGATACTACTCAAATATAGATTACTCTTGTTGTTTCGGTCATGTGTTTGAAAATTAACCACTCTTGCTCATTATTGTCTCGAACGATAATCTATAGAAGAGATGTTTGATATAATTTATAAAGAATTTCTAACTGATTTTATTGAATAATAAACAATGTAAGTCTACATATTGAATATAAAAAATAATGTTTATCGATTACAAGCAAATTGTTCAAGTCGATTTTGTTTAATTTTTTCAGTTTCTTCATTAGTATTTTCAAATTCATCGACTTTTCTTCTTGCATTTCATGAATTATCTTCATTTTCAGTGGTTATGTCATTATTAATGTCAGTCTAAATATATTTCAATGATATAAAAAATAATTTGAAAAAACAAAATCAAATTGAAATTACACCTGAACTGTTGTTTTATTCGATGATGAAAGATGAGATTCATTAATCGATGGTTTCCATTTACTTAATTCATCGTTTGATGATGGCTCATCTGAAGGATTTGCGAAATGGATTATTAAATGGAACATTTGTTGTTTCGACTTTTGGTTGAGTTTGTTTTATTTCTTCAAATGATGATGAGAATAATATTGTTAATGATGATGTTATAGAGGAACTATTTGATGACAATTTCTTTCTTTCATATTTTTCTTTTTCTTCTTCTTTGTTTTATTCAATTGAATCATTAATTATTTTTTGAGATAATGTTAATTTTCCTGATTTAGTCACATATTTAAGTGCTAACTGACGTGATATTCAATCCATTAATTGACAAATTTCAAATGCACGATCTTCTCGTTTCGATTTACATGATAAATGCGAAAACCTCGGATTTAAATCCGAGATATGTGTACTTCAAAAAGTGAATGAGACAGATGAGTCATCCTAGAATGTGTGGACATCAAAATTATCCTGGCAAACCTTTTCTATGGGTAATAATAATGGGCCGAATTTTTGGTCTACGGCCTACGCGAGCCTAAAAAATATTATTCGTTTGTTTTTCTGTTCATATGAATCATCTGCAGAACGAAAAAAAAATAACCAATTATTTTCGTAGGCCTACGTAGGTCGTAGGCCAAAAATTCGGCCGATTATTATTACCCTATAATAGTTGAAGTTTTATTTTATTATAATACTAAGAGTTTTTTTACGAAAGTGAGGACAGGTCGATTTTCCTATTGGAAGCCATAGGGAAAAATGACTATTTTTGCAATAACTCAGCAATGGCTCGGCCAATCATGCTCATCTTCGAACTCGACCGAGATATTGTTAAGACTGAACTGTGTAGAAAATTTCATCGCAATCGGACGCTCCTTTCAAAGGTTATCGTGTAAACGGACGGCCGGACACTGACAGATTCTAGAGTGTACTCACTTTTTGAGTACACAAAAAACAGCATGTACTCGAGTCACTGTCTAATCCTTGTTAAATAGACTTTAGGTCGATTGGATATATTATCTCTAACGACGTCGAGTTCCCAAGTGTAACGGCCTTATTCGATCTGACATTTTACTCATCAATTGAATCAATAAGACTAGTACAAGTCTAAAATGAGTTTCGTCTCATGACATATTCATCTAAAATTATGATTTCTGTGCTAAGCCTGGCATTTACAAAGACTCCCATACGAGTTATTAATCTCAAATTTCGCCCATACACAGAGTTTGAGATCATTAGATAATCTTAAAAATTTCAGCTGAATCGAATGTTCATATAATGGTTCAAATTCATCAGAAGATTTTCTGAATCGATTATTTATAAGTATTGAACGTCTTGAATAGAAAAGTTTCGTTTGAGTTCAACTTTTCAATCACTTCTAGATTTGTTGATGAACAAAACTTTAAGTGGAAAATTTATAAAAGTAATCTTTTATAAAATCCCATGTTATCCAAATGAAGAAAACTCAATGAAGTGGTTATAACTCTAGGTTGATAGGTTATGACTACGAATCTTTTCAAGCTTACACTAATTTCATGGAGCCCTATTAATAAGGAAGATATCAGCTCGATTAATATATTACATTTATAAATGTTAAATTTTCAGAAACAAGATGATTCAATTAGATATGGGCAAGATAATCTTTGCCTCGGTCAAAAACTACTATTCAGACTCATCGTCTAAATTCAACACATTTTTCGTGAAAACTAAATTTTAGGAAAATACGATATAAATATGAAAATTTATTAGCTTTTCAAGTGAACATGTTGTAATATGTGAAATTTTTTTCTAAGCTTTAAAGATTCTAGTTGAATTCTCAAAATCTATTCAGTTGATAAATAACATTTCGAAATATAATAAATCATTAAAAAAAAAATTTATAAACTTTAAGCCAAAAACAAAAGCTTCTAAGTTTAAAACAAACTTTCTACATATCGTATATCTTCATAAAATAAATCAAGTTATTTTACTGTTCAAACATGCTTTCTTTTTAGCAAATATGAAAAGATAATTATTTATATTAAATTAATAGAAATGCAAAGGAGAAAAAAGGTCAAAATTGATTCGGATAAAATCGAAGTCCTTCGATCGAATCATCACGACAAAGTAAACCATGTGTTTCAGCAGCGATTAATCTATAAGAAAAGAAAAACAAATAACAATAATTCGAAATTAATCTTTTGGAATTTTGTTTAAAATATAATGTAATACCTTTCTCGAGCAACAATCACAGGAATACCAATAAGATTAGCCAATTGATCCGCACTCATTGATATCGATGATTCAACCTTTTATTATTTTTAAAGAAATAAAATTCTATTCAAATAATGTAAACACTTACAAAATTAGCAATTTCTTGCAAATCTTTCTTTTCATTTCGATTTGTTAATTCAAAACTTTTTGTACCCGAACTTAATACACGTAATCTAAAATCAAATGTAAAGTATTGTTTTTTCTAACAATGAATAAATTAACAAAAATGTTCTCTAACCTAACAGGTAGATTTAATTGTTCCATATGTACAGCTGCATTAAGTAAATCTTCTGGTGAAATTAACTAGACCAAAAAATAAAAAAGAAATTTTTATTTTTAATATTTTATTAAGCTATAATAAACATCATACCTCATAACCACGAGCACGATTTATTCGACAATATGCATCACTTAACGTCATTATGCCATTCGTATCCTGAGAAAAAGTTTATCATTTTGTAAGTTTCCATAGAATTTTATTTTCTTACTTTTAATGCTTTTTCTAAGACTGATGCTAATTCTTTAGCTAGTGATACATGATATTGACTACCAGCTGATTCTTTTGTTACTGGATTATCAATACCAAGACTGAGTAAATAAGATCGAAAACGAATTGTCTAAATAATAAACTTGATTGATACAAAAAAAGAAAACAAATGAAATAATGATTGAACATTATTCTTACTTCATCGCTGGTTAGATCACTACGTTTTTCTTGAATTTTGTTTGCAATTGTTTTTGATATATTAACCATATCTTTAGCCTTAACAAAAAAAAAGTTTTTTTTGACTAAAAGACTATATAATCATCATACTAACTTGTTGCATAAGTTGATTTAAATCTTGAAAAGCACTACTAATCGATTGATGCTGAACATTTAATTGATGTTGTAAATGATTTTCAATACCCGAAATACCTGTACGATGTGAACGATCACTCTTAAACAAATTTGAAAAAAAAAATCGTTTGTTTTTTCGCGAAACTTTTTATATAAATTTTTAACAGACTGTTGTTGGATTCATTCCTGTTGTAGTTGGTTTAACTGGTTGTAATAACCAACGTTTTTTAACTAATTCTTCTTGAACTAAACGTAAAAACTTGACAAAAAAAGAATAATTTATTTTTATGAAAATAAAATAGTTGTTTTATAATTACGTCATTACAACCACCTTCACGAAATTCAAATTGTATTTCATCATGACGACTACTTGCAAATGGTCCTGGACGTTTCGGTTCCTGACCTCTTGATACAGTGCAAACAAGACGAGCTCTAATAAAAAAATCAGATCATAAATAATTATTTTTATAGATAACTCATTGATTTTGCGGATGCATCAATTTCGAGAATATGCTGTCAAAGATGACATTTTTTTCTTATAAGGAATGTAGCTCCCTATCAATCATTTATATCGGCCATGATCAGTTTTTCTTGCTCTATCTGAAGCTGTGATCGGTCGAAAATACTAAAAAATAAGGATTTTTACCTATGTCCAACTGATTTTGAGATATGTTTCTCATCAGGCAAAAACTTCGGAAAGAGCATTAAAAACTAATCATAAATGATACCCTACTTTCAAAACAACATGTTCAATATTGAGAATTACCAGAGTCCCAGTGACTGTTCATACGAGTCGTAACAAATTTGGAACGCTCTTTCTAAAGCTTTTGCTTCATGAAAAACACTGATCTCAGAATTAATTGGAATCGGTCGAAAAAAATTGAACATTACGAA